CAAGCAGTGGTACAGGAAGAAGTCTGCATCCTTCAAGAAAAACATGATTTTTCATGCAGGACAATGCTCCATCACACGCGTCCAAGTACTCCACAGCGTGGCTGGCAAGAAAGGGTATAAAAGAAGAAAATCTAATGACATGGCCTCCTTGTTCACCTGATCTGAACCCCATTGAGAACCTGTGGTCCATCATCAAATGTGAGATTTACAAGGAGGGAAAACGGTACACCTCTCTGAACAGTGTCTGGGAGGCTGTGGTTGCTGCTGCACGCAATGTTGATGGTGAACAGATCAAAACACTGACAGAATCCATGGATGGCAGGCTTTTTGAGTGTCCTTGCAAAGAAAGGTGGCTATATTGGTCACTGATTTGTTTTTGTTTTGTTTTTGAATGTCAGAAATGTATATTTGTGAATGTTGAGATGTTATATTGGTATCACTGGTAATAATAAATAATTGAAATGGGTATATATTTGTTTTTTGTTAAGTTGCCTAATAATTATGCACAGTAATAGTCACCTGCACACACAGATATCCCCCTAACATAGCTATAACTAAAAACAAACTAAAAACTACTTCCAAAAATATTCAGCTTTGATATTAATGAGTTTTTGGGTTCATTGAGAACATGGTTGTTGTTCAATAATAAAATTAATCCTCAAAAATACAACTTGCCTAATAATTCTGCACTCCCTGTATGTATATGTTAAGATTATATATATATAGATTTTGCTCGAGAAAGACAGATTGCATGAAATATAAGAAAAACCGAGAAAAGTACACGTTAGACACGATAAAGATTTAACTTTAGTCTCTAATTTAATTTTCAGCCTAGGTAATTGATTAATTGATGTCGTATTGATCCTTGTGTTTGTATGATTATAGAGACCGCACTGGAGTGTTTGTGCCGACTCATATTTGGGACTACACACCGATCTCTCTGGCTGACCTACCTACCTACCTGTCACGGCAAGGATGTATACTTTATTATTACACTATGGAATATCATCCTTTAATGTAATTTGTGTAGTAAATGGCACAAATTACAGAGATGCTATTGCTGAGTTCAACAGGGGTTACATCTTTTGAAGCTGGGACCCCCACAGAGGTCAGATGAGAAGGGGTAGTGTGAATGGCATAGGAATGTGAAAAGGATTTTACTATATGAATGTGAAGTAATCAAGGCTCTGCAAGGTGTGAGGTTCTACACTTGGAAAAAGTCTGAATGTCTCTTCATCCATTTGGCCTAGGTAATTGATTAATTGATGTCGTATTGATCCTTGTGTTTGTATGATTAAAGAGACCGCACTGGAGTGTTTGTGCCGACTCATATTTGGGACTACACACCGATCTCTCTGGCTGACCTACCTACCTACCTACCTGTCACAGCAAGGATGTATACTTTATTATTACACTATGGAATATCATCCTTTAATGTAATTTGTGTAGTAAATGGCACAAATTACAGAGATGCTATTGCTGAGTTCAACAGGGGTTACATCTTTTGAAGCTGGGACCCCCACAGAGGTCAGATGACAGAAGGGGTAGTGTGAATGGCATGGGAACGTGAAAAGGATTTTACTATATGAATGTGAAGTAATCAAGGCTCTGCAAGGTGTGAGGTTCTACACTTGGAAAAAGTCTGAATGTCTCTTCATCCATTTGGCATGTACCTTGTAGAGGATAGTTCAATCCTTTGATGGTAATCGGATTCGTTTCATGAAGATCCTTGTGTTCCAGTATTTTATCCAAGTGAAACGTTAATACTTACCCACAGGTTAATAATTAAGCCTCATTTTTATTATATTTGGAAAGGGACAAGCCCAATCTCTTAATTAAGCCTAAACATGAGTTGCACAACTTAAACCGTGTGGCAGGAATTGTGATGTCCGTCCTATGGGATCATGGGCAGGGCGTGCAACATGTCTATGGAATGGAAAAACAATAACAAATTCATAGAGGCAATTATTATTTCTGTGGCAAGTACAGTAGAGAAGATAAAACCAAAAGTTTGTATGTGGCTTGTTGTTTCTGGAACAAAGGAGGTGGTCACTTAGTATCCCTATTGCTCAACCCCTGGGTGAGGCGTGGCAATTCACAGGGTATATCTCCTGTGATCCTGAAGGGTGTTTGTGTACTTGCTTGGGGCCAAGATCTAATTTTGAGTGAGTCACCATCATCCTTCCTTGCCAGAGACCCCCTGGACAGAAGTTGTACTTTGAAAACCTAAGAGAGTAATTAGGACTTCTGTATTTTATCCTTTTTGATTTTATCTGTTGTTGGTGTAAATAATTTGTTTGTAATATATTGTTATATGCACTGTGATTAATTTTTGCTCATAATAAACATTAATTTATTAAGTTCTGCCTTTGTCTGGTTAAAAATCACGTTACCTGAAGAGACTAGTTGGTATTTTTATAATTCCTTAAATATTGTGCTAAGTAAAATTTGGTGGGTTTTATTATTGATTTACCTGGGGGACCAAGGCACCCCATTTATAAATTGTCTTGGTGGTGGCAGCGTTAAAGTAGTAATAGTTATATTATTATGTTTAAGTGTGGGTGGTGTAAAAAGGGGGATTTTGTCATTATTTCCGGTCTAGTGCAGACAAATAACCCTTTCACCACCACAACTACGTCACGCACACTCTTGGAGTAGGGTGCGTTCGTGACACTACCTATTTTGTAATTAAATCTGTTTGGTCAAAATCCATACTGGCTGAAGAAACTCAGATGCTTACTTATGAGGACATAAACTAACTTGGAAAGTCTTGAAGGTGTAGTGCTGTCTAATGCCGGTGGAACTATGAGATCCAGGACTCGGGTATGTGACACAGGGCTTCCCCCCCCAACTCCAGAACAACACCCCCCTCCCACCCTTCCCATTTGGGGTGGCGGTCCATCCTTTCCCTTTTGGGGTGGTGGGTCAGGGGGTAAGAGGCATGACCCTGGGGGAGTTGAGACACCTGCTGGGACAAATTGAACGCTAACTTTCAAGACACCAAGGGGAGACCAGGGGTATTGGGGGGGCCACAATGTGGCATTACCACAACGCCCCCTCTCACCACTCCACATGGACCGGGGCATGCACACCCCTTGCGGACACTACGCACTGGTCCATCAAACCCTGGACATATAGGCCACTAAGGGACGTGGCTGCCGACGAGCCTATCGGGGGACTGATGGCGTTGGAGGCTCGGGGGATGGGACATGGGGAATGTTTACTAACAGGCTCCTGAATAAGAATGACTAGATTTTGTAACACCCTGTTCACTTCCCCAGCGGGCCCATTGCACACACCCTGGACTCAACACGAGAGACACCATGTAGGGTAGACACTCGGCTTGTAACACAAGAAAGGGCAGCTGATATTGAGCGAGAACCATTAGTGCAGTGGCCGAAATGAGATGAGACCCAATGGAAGCAGTATACAAACAAAGGGCCCGACCAACAAGATAACCCCCTCCTCTAATGTAACTGACCCACATACCCGGAGACCTTTAGGAAAAGTTGGGCCTAGGCACACACAGGGAGACGTCTTCCCCCCCACACCACATTCTGAACACAGCTCTAACATTAGGGTTGGGTGCCAAAGGAGGCCTGTGACCCTGATTCACCAATAATATGATCGACCCACTCCGTTGGTGCCACACACAACACCACCCTATGTAACGGACCGTTTTGCCCACAAGAGGTTAAAAAACGTTTAGGCGATATTCCCCTTTCAGATGCACAGACAGCTATTGCAATCACCAATCTCCCGAACTGCAAACTATACGAATTCTCCAACTCCCGAACAGGAAACTCACGAATACTGGAAACAGCTGAACAGGAAAAACTATACGAAAGGTTTACACCCCTGGCAGTCAGCATACAATCCAATTCCCCCAATAACGAGACGACACTTCGTTTGAGGTTTAAGCAGAATCTGGTTTATTGGGGCTAACTGCCCAGCTTTTATGCAGGTCTCCCACCTGGTGGACACTCCCCTAGGGGACCAGATGGGAAACTGGTAAACATATTGGCTCTTAGCCAATCACATACATACACCTTTAAACACTCCCACAATTACATCACAATCCCTCCTCTCTGTCCTGGAGATAATTGGGAAGTAATACAATTATCTCCAAGGACAGAGGCAAAACTCCATTAACCATATGGCAGTAAAAATACAGTAAAAGATAAGAAATTACATAAAGTCACATTTATTACCTAAAACATATACATTCTACATATCCCCAGATAGCTTAGATCTGAGCGCACATTACTACCGAATGGCGCTCAGATCACATACATACAGTTCAATCGCCATGGAACCAAAGTCTTTCCCATAGTCTTTCGTTACATGAATAGGCTTCATGGCTTAGCTATCTGGGTGATGCTGTTCATCCGGTTAAACTATCGAATGAACAGTCATTCGGTTCTGCTACCGAATGGGAAGGTAAGGAGGCACCGCTCAGCGGTGTTCGCGCCAATAAGTGTCCGTTTTCAGTTCCATAGTTTGGGCGCTGAACACCGCTGGCCGTTCGGGAGGTAAAATGGCCGCTGCCACGTGTTCGGCAGACGAACAAAGGCCACCCAGCGTTCATCAATTAAGATGCGGTTAACAGCTTCTGGGTGGTCAATTGATGGCACACTCCAGCTCCCAGGTGGTCCATCGTTCGATAGTTTGTTCGGTAGATTGAATCTACCGAACACCCCGGCAGAAAGGCACGGATAAACCTTTCAGTAGGAGAAATAACAGGGCTGAACTGCAGGGCCATAGTCTAAAGGGAGCAGCCGAGCAACCAGGCTTCTCCAGTGTACAGTGGCAAGGTTGGTTCCGCCACACCCTACCTGTAAATTATACCAGGGTTCTCTGGGACGGACAACTCACCCCCCAGTGAACGATTGACCCCCGGCTTAGGGTCAATACCATACACACAGACTTAGACGACTGAACCATACCTACCCTCCCCTCCTTCCCCTTCGTCTTCATACTACAGACTCTTACCCGCTTACCTTCCCCCCCGCTGGTCCTCTCCTCCTGGGTAACCGAGATGAGCCATAAGCCGGCTCCACTCACATACTGGTCCAACAACGTCCATGGACTTAACGTCTCCGAAAAACGTTCACACCTACTCAGGAGGCTGTGGTCGACAAGGGCATCCATAGTGTTCCTACAGGAGACACACTTCAAAGGGCAAGATGTACCCAAGCTAGAAAATAACCGCTAACCATTAGGTTTCTGTAATGAAATCCCTTATTAAACAGACTATGTGAACCAGCCTGTTCGGTTATTTAGACGTGTGTGGGGTGATTTCGTGCAAATAGCAATAAAACGAATAAACTGACGAATCACCCGACCTCCTACTGAGGTCGTGTGGCGCCCATTAACCACCCAGACTTTGCGGTTAACCACAGAGTAATTGGGGAACAGCTTGGTGGTCCGTGTTCGTCTGCCTTACACGTGGCAGTCGCCATTTTAAATTGTCGAACGCCCAGCGGTACATGGCGGCGATGCCCTGGAACTCTTTTTCGGATACTTATTCTGCTGAACACCACTGATACCTACCAAGGTCCTCGTTCATACGGTTGAAATCACACGAATGCCGGAGACATTGCACCGTTCGGGACTTGGATTTAGGTGAAAGAGACCGACCTCAGATAGCTACAGTGTGGAACTCTTTGTCGGATACAAACACGTGAACGCCCGGTGAAGTCCAAACGTCATTCAACGTTTTTGAGAACTGTGCTCGTGGGATCTGAGCGCTACTCGCCTAGAATATGCACTCAGATCCAAGCTATCTGGGGGTATGTGGGACTTAAAGTTTATGTTCAGTAAAATATAAGTTATAGATTTTTATGCTGTTTTGTGAATATGGGAAAAGCCATGTTTCTTTCTACCTGGAGATAATTAAGGCTCTCTTTACTACCTTAAGTTAATTATCTCCAGGGTGGAAAGGAGGGAGTGACTTATGTAAAAGGGAGTGCTTATGTTAAAGCCACTGCGATTGGCTACTGTAGTTCTTTTGTCTCAGTCTTCCATCTGGTCCCCTAGGGGAGTGTCCACCAGGTGGGAGACCTGCATAAATACCGGGCAGGTAGCCCCCATTAAATCAGATCGTTTTACCCCTTCATGAAGTCTCGACTCATGTTTGGGGGATTGGAAGCTATAATCACTCTGTTTCAGTGGAGAAGCTACAAGGATCAGCACTGCACGAATAGAAGGATCCTTTACACTGGTGGCAAGCAGCGGGATTTTCTCCCGAACGGATGTACCGAATCAAAACAAGTGGTGAATGGCGCATAGATACGAACGCTTGAAACGAACAACATTGAAGGAACTGCTGGAAGCGCGAGGCATAGTGGCAAGCAATAAACCGAAAGCCACGTTAATAGCCGAACTACTGGAGAGCAATCAAACCGGCGAACAACAAATGGCGAATGATGAGGAAACAGAGTTCCAAAGGGATGTGAGATGGAGACTCAGCCTGGTAGGACCTAACCCTGCACCGGAGATCGTGGTACAGATCTTGGCAAAAGCTACAGAGACCCAGAATGCCAGAGAAGCTCGAGAAGGCAGAGACAGATCACCTCCTGTGGATATATTGTCGCTATCTGGATCTACAATGGGGCAACAGCGAAAAATCTACTACGCTGCATTTAAAAGCTTCGTGGAAGGTGAGATGGATATTGATAATTACTTGCAAGATTTTGAAAGACAATGTGTGTTAGAAGATTTAGAAAGAGCTAACTGGGCTGCAGTACTAAGCAGCAAATTATCCAGCAGAGCAGCAGAAGCACTGAGAGCTGTGCCAGATGGGGATATACAAAACTATGGGAAAATAAAAGAGATTTTGTTGGCTCGGTATGCTGTAATGCCTGAAGCCCACAGAAGGAAATTCCGGGCCCTCAGGAGACAAGGCAAGGATTCATATACCGAGTGGGCATTTCGGATGCAACGCGCCGACAGTAACTGGATGCAGGGGAATCAGGCAACTACCTTGGAGGATGCTGTGCAATTAATACTACTGGAACAGTTTTTTGATTACACACCAGCGGAAGTTAGAGACTGGGTCAGAGATAGAAAGCCACAGACGGTAGAGGAGGCAGCGAGGTTGGCAGATGAATTCCATGAGAGCAGAAGGCTGGATGGAAATCGAGGGTTCTCTGGACCGTGACCCTCATCGGGTCCTCCACCTACGCAACAGTGGGCAACCCCACCGGGGGGCAATACCACAACTCCGGGGTATCAAAAGACCTCTCCAATGTGTTATGGGTGCAAGCAAGTGGGGCACATCAAACCTAATTGCCCACAACGTACTACAGACCGCTGGGGGCGGACACCAGTACCACCGACCAAAGCAGCCGCACACTGTGTGCAAGAGGATTACGGCTCTCTGACTCAAGGGGCACCCAGTAACAACAGTGAAAATTGGGCCACCTTACATGAGGTGAACCCCGTGCAAGCGGCTGGGGATAACAGGGTGCACCACCGCCAGTCAGTAAAAGTAAATGGACAAGAGGCTAGGGGACTAAGAGACAGCGGGGCTACTATTACCTTGGTCTAGCCACACTGGGTCACCCCGGCCCAGCACACAGGACGCACCATTGCTGTAAGGGTGGCCGGAGGGGCAATTCATAAACTGCCAACAGCTCGGGTACACATTGATTGGGGTACGGGGGCCAAGGCTGTGGAAGTGGGCATCATGCCAGATTTGCCAGCGGAAGTATTGCTGGGGAATGATTTAGGATGTTTGACGTCCCAATTGGCAGCCTGCAGTCCAGAACACCACTGTTACCACCCGTCAGCAATCCAGAGCTATGGAGGCCTCCCCCTCAACCCATGACCAGGTAAGCAATAACCCCCTGACAGTTCACCCTGACCATACTTCTTACTGGGGTACCCCTCAAGACTTTGAGCAAGCTCAGTGAGAAGACCCCACATTAAAGGGGTATCGGAGGGAGGCAGATCAACCCCAGGGAGACGGAGATCAGGCAAGGTCTATCTGGGAAAAGGGTTTACTATACCGGGTGACCGGGGGGACAGGGAAGGAAGCGGGTCTGGTAGAAAAAAAGACAGTTAATAGTGCCCCGTAAGTATCGGGTAGAACTATTGCGGATTAGCCATGATATCCCCCTAGCAGGTCACTTAGGCATTAAAAAGACTAGAGACCGACTCACCCAGTCATTTTTCTGGCCGGGGGTCACTAGAGATTTACAGGATTATTTTAGGACCTGCGAGGTATGCCAAAAGGTAGGAAAGGGAGGGGATCACCACAGGGCAAAACTACGAGGAACCATTTTTCCGAGTGGCAGTCGATTTAGTCGGGCCACTCAGCAAACCCAGTCCATCCAGTAAGAAATACATTCTTACTGTGGTGGACTACGCTACCCGCTACCCCGAGGCAATAGCTCTGTCAAATATACATGCCGAGACGGTAGCGGAAGCACTGGTGCAGGTGTTCACTAGGGTGGGGTTTCCTAGGGAGATAGGAACCCAATTCACCGTGGTGGTTACCCAACAGCTCTGGCAGAGCTGTGGGGTAAAACCCATATTAAGTTCCCCATATCATCCCCAGACCAATGGCCTTGGAAATTTGTAGCAGAGAACAGTGCCCTAGCTAAACCACTGACGGACCTCACCAAAAAGTCCCTACCCCGATAAGTAGCCTGGTCCCCTGAGTGTGAGGAGGCTTTCCATAAACTCAAAGCTGCATTAAGTGCATTTCCTGTGTTGGCGGCCTCGGATCATACTAAAAGGTTTCTCGTTCACACAGATGCCTCCATGTTTGGACTGGGAGCAGTACTAAGCCAGGTGGGACCACCTGGACCACCCGGTGGCGTATCTGAGCAGAAAACTGCTACCACGCGAAGTCAGCTATGCCACCGTGGAAAAAGAGTGTCTGGCATTAGTTTGGGCACTTAAAAAGCTACAAACCTACTTGTATGGACGCTCTTTCACAGTGCTAACTGACCACAACCCTTTGATTTGGCATAACAGAGTAGCTGGCGATAACCCCAGACTACTCAGATGGAGCTTGGCCCTGCAACCCTATAATTTCACGATGCAGTATCGCCCCGGGAAGTAGAATGCCAATGCAGATGGCCTGTCACGGCAGACCAAACTAGAAAAGTATCTCTCTCATCCGGACATCCCTTAGCCGACCCATTAGGATCTAAGCAGGTATGCCGTTCCATGGGACTAAGGGGGAGCTGTGTAACGAAATCCCTTATTAAACAGACTATGCGAACCAGCCTGTTCGGTTATTTAGACGTGTGTGGGGTGATTTCGTGCAAATAGCAATAAAACGAATAAACTGACGAATCACCCGACCTCCTACTGAGGTCGTGTGGCGCCCATTAACCACCCAGACTTTGCGGTTAACCACAGAGTAATTGGGGAACAGCTTGGTGGTCCGCGTTCATCTGCCAAACACGTGGCAGTCGCCATTTTAAATTGTCGAACGCCCAGCGGTAAATGGCAGCGATGCCCTGGAACTCTTTTTCGGATACTTATTCTGCCGAACACCGCTGATACCTACCAAGGTCCTCGTTTATACAGTTGAAAACACACGAATGCCGGAGACAATGCACCATTCGGGACTTGGATTTATGCGAAAGAGACCTGTAACGGAACCGCTGGCACCCAGACCGGGTACCTTCCGCTGACGGATGCTCCTAGCTCTTCCTGAGGACTTCAAGCACTGCAGCAGACATAATACCATTTATAATATTGCAGACCGCCTGAATGCAATCTGCTACACAGTCTTAAAGGGACATTGTTCCTAAAAGTCATAATATGTCCAGGGATGGTTTTTAAAGGGCCAGCAGCAGCACCATACAAATCCAATATGCCCAAATATTGTACTTGAAGGGTCAAATAACCCAGGGCCATAGTCATGAGGCAAGAGGCTGGCAATCAGGCTCCTCCAACAGTCAGGGGAAAATCCGGTGACAAAAGGCGTTTCGTCACAAGACCGACCCCAGATAGCTACAGTGTGGAACTCTTTGTCGGATACAAACACACGAACGGCCGGTGAAGTCCAAACTTCATTTGATGTTTTTGAGAACTGTGTTCGTGGGATCTGAGCGCTATTCGCCTAGAATATGCACTCAGATCCACGCTATCTGGGGGTATGTGGGACTTAAAGTTTATGTTCAGTAAAA